GAAAATTTTCTGATGTATAAAAGTATTTCTAATCTTAAAATGAAAGTTACTTTGCATGTTGGATAAGCAACATGCGAAAAGAAAGAAAAGGCATGAGAAAAATATTGCTTAACAAACCTTAAGACTTAATAAAAAAATTTGACATTTTGTGTATGAAAGCATTGTAATGTTTTCTGATAATCTGCCAAACAAGCACAAAATGGTTACGAGGTCGGTCCCAGGGACTGAGCTCATGCTGAAAGAGATAATCAAAATTATTTAAAATTGTTAATGATTTAATTATTAGTTTTAGCTAAATATTTTGCTTTAAAAAATAAAGTATACATTAAAAAGTTAGAACTAATTACCAGAAGTTTGAGCAGGGTCACAGATATTTTATTTCTAGCTTTGTATTATTGATGTGGGTATAGAGTTATTCAGTTAGGTAGATTAACAGAAATAACTTCTGGTATCACAAGTAATCATGGTGTCTCAAATGATGTTAAAGGTGATGAAAGCATCCATATATCTTCAATTCTGAAGAACAAGTAAATTCAGAGCTTGTGCAGGTCCTGGAAATATAATAAAGGCATTTGGAAATATTTTTATGAAGTTCTGAAGTCATGGAACTTTTGTGAAAGTTTTGGAAAACAGTTAATGATTGTCAGTTTAAATAAATGGTAAGTTAAAGGAAGTGGGTTTTGTGCATGCATTTATAAACCTATGCTCTCTGCATGCTGGAATTCAATCTGGTTGGAATTGGAAATGGTTGCTAATATTTTACGAACAGAATTTTGGGAGAAGTAGTGAGAAGATGTCATCAATGATAGTGAACCCAGCCTGACACTATGCATCCTGACTGATGTTTCAGCACTACACATCATCTAGTGTTAAGTGGAGACCAGCTTACGTAAAACCATGTGATAGCCCATACAAGACACATCAATAGATATAATTTTTTAATTGATTAGATTATTTTCATTCTTTTAAATTAACCATTCTGTCTAGGATGAATTTTAGATATTATATTGAAAAATGCTAAATCTGGGTATTTGCCGTAAATGCTGTTAACAGGGATGTATCATTTAATCTGCACAGTGCTGCAGATTGAAATGTTTGGCCACCAAAAAAATGCCTTGAGATCCTAGAAAAGGTTATGGAAAGTCATGGAATTTTATCTGCCTTAAAGAATACAAACCCTTGTAATGCCCAGTCTCTCTCAATAACAAGTGCATTAAGTGTTTATGATCTTAAAGTTCCGTTTCTTTGTTGGATGTATAAAGCAAGTTTTTAAGTGTAGGTTATCTTAGTATTATTTTTCAGACAAGATGATATTACCTTTCTTTCAGAGTGTTGCTTGTGAGTTTGTACCAGGAGATGATCAAGTGATAGTAGTTGAAAAAGTAGACAATTGTTCAGCCAGTCAAGAAGGACTTGGACCAGAATATTCACATGATAAGATAAACCTATCTGAACAGCATTCAGACTCTTTGCCAAAACAGATAGCTGAATCCATCTTGAATGAAATAGTTGATCAAGTTGTGAATGGTATGTTTTTAGTTTTTATGTTACTTACAACATCTTATAAGAAACTAATTTGTCTAGATTATAAAAAAACAACTCACTTTCTTATTCATGTTTAACTATTAAAAGTTGTTTGAGTCTCTCATGGCAAGTAGGTCAAAGAACACAGGTCACAACTTTTTAGAGAGTTACATTCAAAATTTAATTAAATTTCTTAATTATCATTGTATATGAATAAACTTAACATCAAAATGTTGTTAATAAATCAAATTTTAATAATATATGTTTTAACTTCATAATTTGATAAGGAAATATTTAAAAACCCTCAATTTTCCAGTGTATGAGAATTGTGATATTTGTTCTCTAGGTCTTCCCTCTTCTGTAATTAATTTACTACCCCTCTGACAAATTTGGAATTTAATGTAAATTAATCATTATAATATATATATTACTCAGGCAAAGCACAAGTTTTATAGGCTTCAGTCTTATTTGTCTATGGAGCCATTAACTAGAAAATCAGACCTACTTGCTATGCCTACCTATCATATCCCATTATTCACAAATTGCCAATAGTTCTCTCTGATGTTTTATATTTTTATTATTTGTAATTAATAGAAAGTCAAAGTTTTAATCTATCAAATGTCTTATTACATTGTTTTCTGTACAGGGCATTGTCTGTTTCTTCATTCAGTTTCAGATTTACTCTCCTGGCAATCACATTGATGAGCTTAGCTGAATTTTTAAAAGCTCTTATCTCATGGTTAGAAAGCCAGGAAAATTATGATAGTTATAAGACAAAAGTTGAATGCTCATCATATGATTAATTTTTATTTTCAAAAGTATATCTAAATATATGTTTTATGAACAT